CTAAGCGAGCCTTGTACTTCAACAGCTTGTCACCATCTTTCTTAAGCTTGAACACCAATTTATTCTTCAAGGCTTTTCTGTCTTCCGGAAGCTTCACAAGCTCATAAGTTTCATTATCGCGCGTCGCAACGCGGCAAAATTATAATTTATAAATTCCTTATTCGACTTCTACCAACTAGTAGTAGTAGTGAGTAAGGGTCGAACCCAAGGGAGTGTGAATTTTAATTGTAATTATTTTCTTTTAATTGAAATTAATAAAAACGATAAAAGAGGGGGGTTTTAATGTGGGACAATTAACTACGAAAATAAGAATAACAAAATAAAATCAAATACAACAAAAGAGGATAATTTATCAAATTATGGGAAAACTTCTAGTTCACGGTTCCGTCTACACCCTCGACCGACTCGTCTAATCAATTCTGGTATCAAATCTCGCTATCAATGGAATTACTAGCCCTAGGTAACGCCACGGGCTGTTACCCGAATTTTTCCTTATTTTTAATCTAACCGCGAGACGCTCTACGATTAAATCTAACCTCTTGAACAGTCTAGGAAACGCTTCCTAAATTTAATTCAATTGGCCGCTTTACGATTTAGAAAAATAGGCTAGACTAAGTAGCGAAATTTTCATTCACTTACTTAGGCTGTGTTATCCCCGGTAGTTACCATCTTTCGGTAGCCTCTAATTGATTAAACATATCAACAATTACGGATTGATAGTTTGAATCTAGCAGTAGATGTGAAAAGTCTAGTCTAGGTGATCAAGCTAAACAAGACTCAACAAATCAGGGTTAATTATTCAAAATAACACAAACAATTCCAAAAGATATTGAAATTATCAACCAGAAAATTAATCAAACATTCATCGAGTCTTAGGGTTCAACTTCCCCGGAACTAGAATAAAAGAACTACTCACTACTCATAGTGTTCAAAAACATGATCATCAAATTAATTACACAAGAAAGAAAAGAAAAAGAAAAGAAAAGAAATAAATTCTTCTCTGTTCTTATGCTTCCTGTTGTTGTTGTTGCCTTTTTTCTCTGCTGCTCAAGTTCCAGCCGCCAAAAGTCCCCTTCAATAATCGGTCCTCTTTTCTTTTAATGATAGGTCTCCCCTCTTTTCTTTTACACGCTTTTTTTTTCTTTTTTCCAAAGTCAACTCCAATAAACTGGACCCCTTCACATTAATTTCTAGCATAAAGTCAGCCCAAATATATGTCCACTTAGCCCATTTGTCCACTTAAATAAATTCAGCCCAAATTAATTAATTGCAGCAGGAGTACTGGGGGCTGGAACGAAGTACTGGGTACCCCAATACTACATCAGAATTTTTCGAGCTCACGTCTTGCATTCAACGTCGTCACTTGCTGAAAATAATCCCAAAACTCTGAAAACACTCACGTAACTCATCAAGGCACCACAATAGATCATAATGTTAAATAAGTCGAAAATCATATAAATGCGTGTAAATAAACGTGCATTATTACAAAATTAAACGACTAAAGCGAGCACGTTTCTCGACTAATCAATTCTGTACTTCTTCAAAGCTTTCTGGCTCCCCTTCTTCAGTGATGGTAATATACGTGGAATTAGGGTATCTCGTAGACGGTTGGATCGCTCGATTTGATCTCCTGAGCTGAGGTGGAGCTTCGAGGTCTTTCTGCTCAACACCTTCACAATCACCATCTTCTATTGCTGGCTCATCATCAACCCTGAGTTTTCCATCACACTCTCCCTCTGCTATGGCATCTCCAGGAGGTTTGGCAGGTGAAAGATCCACCTTTCCACTTGGTTCTCTGATTTTTGGTGAAGCAGAATCGGACATAGTTTCTTGCTCATGGAATACTACATCTCTGCTTCTGATAATCTTTCGATATTTTGGATCCCATAACCTGTAGCCAAATCCTCATCTCCAGAGCCCAGAAATATACAAGGAATGGCTCTATCATCAAGTTTTCGTCTCTGTTCCTTACTTACGTGAGCAAAAGCTTTGCATCCAAACACCTTTAGATTAGAGTATTTAACATCATGTCCGGACCATACTCTCTCAGGGATATCAAAGCCCAAAAGAACAGATGGAGATCGGTTGATCAGGTAGCACGCTGCTAGAACAGCTTCACCCCAAAATGGCTTAGGTAGCTTAGCCATTCTTAACATACACCTCACTTTCTCCATAATGGTTCTGTTGATTCTTTCAGCCACACCATTATGTTGTGGGGTTCCAGGAATAGTCTTCTCATGCCTGATGCCATGCTCAGCACAATAATTCTTGAATTCATGGGAAGTATACTCTCCCCCATTATCTGAGCGAAGATACTTCAAAGGTTTACCAGCCTGTCTTTCCACCATAGCATGAAACCTTTTGAAGTATTGAAAAACTTCACCCTTCGTTCTCAAGAAATACACCCATAATTTTCTTGAAGCATCATCAATAAACGTCACGAAATATCTGCTACCACCGAGACTCTCCACTTCCATGGGTCCACATACATCAGAATACACCATCTCCAACACATTCTCTTTCAGCTTCGAGGTTTTGCTGAAAGACACTCTATGATGCTTCCCAAAGAGACAATAATCACAAGGATTGAGTTTTAAATCTTTGGCAAATGGGATGAGGGACTTTCTTGCCAAAATCTGTAATCCTTTTTCACCTATGTGAGCCAGCCTTTTGTGCCACAAATTTGACAAAGCATCATCTTCGACTGCATTCAATCCACCCTTGATCAGCTTCACTTGAGTTCTGTACAGTGTCGATCTCACTGTACCTTTAGCCGCTAACAATGATCCTTTGGTAAGTCTCCACGTGTCGTTACCAAAATTATTAGTATAGCCTGCTAGATCCAATGCATGCACAAAGATCAGATTCAGACGTAAGTTAGGTACATGTCGCACATCCTTCAGTGTTATTGTACACCCAATATCAATTTGAATGCACACATCACCAACTCCCACAATATTTGCAACGCTGTTGTTGCCCATCTTTACTCTACCAAAGTCTTCTTCTTTGTATAGAGAAAAGAATTCCTTGTGAGAGATTGCATGGTACGATGCTGCTGAGTCAATGACTCATTCAACACATGAATCTGCGACGTGACACTCTTCTTCTTCAACAGAGAGCAACACCACTTCCCCATTGATTACAGGGGTTGCGGTATTTTCACCGTTCTCTGATTTGTTGTTCCTCCAACCTCTGTTCTTCCAGGCTTTGCAGTTTCTTTTGATATGCCCTTCTTCACCGCAGTGATAACACTTGAACTTTCTCCTGGGTTGAGATTGTGATTTATCTCTGGATTTGTTATCCCGACCTCTGCTTTTTACTTCTCCCCCTGGTTTCTGTGACCAGGGCTTGGGAACTGCTTGCCCCAGAGTCTTTTCTTCTTGTTTCTTCATTAAACATACTGTCTTTGACTTGGGTCAAAGTCAGTTTTCCCTCAGGAGCAGAGTTGCTCAACGAGACCACCAGAGTCTCCCAGGTATCCGGTAAAGAACTCAAAAGTAACAGCGTCTGCAGCTCTTCATCAAGTTTCATTTCCATGGTAACAAGTTGGTTCACCATGTCTTAAAACTCATTCAAGTGTTCTGCAACTGATCTTCCATCCCGGTATTTTAAATTTACAAGCTTTCTAATGATGAAAGCTTTATTTTGTGCAGTCTTCCTCTAGTACATCTGTTCAATTTTGTTCCACAGCGTATGGGCTTTCGACTCCGTGGCAACATGGTGGAATATGCTGATATCCACCCACTGTCGGATTAAACTGACAGCCTTCCTGTGTAATTTCTTCAAATCGTCATCCTTCATGTCATCTCGCTTGTTGTCTCCTTTTTCTACAGGATCGTATAGATCTTTGTAGAAAAGGATATCCTCCATTTTTGGCTTCCAAATGGAGTAATTTGTTGCTGTGAGCTTCACCATGATACCCACGTTCTCCTCCATTTAATTTACACGGGTCGAAACAGAGTCCAACTTGAGCTCTGATACCACTTGTTGGGCTCAGATGCGCAAATGCGGAAGATGTAAATTAAAATACTAACGTGAAATGGTGAACAATAATCTCAATCCCAGCAACTCAAGAATGACAAAAGAAAATCTCTTGCAATAAAACAGGAATAATTCTTTTCTGATGTGGAAGTTCAGATTAAACTGCGACCACAGAGCATACTAAGAATATCCCAAATAAATAAAATATGCAAGAAATAAGACACCAAGATTTAACGTGGAAAACCTCCAAAATAGAGGAAAAAACCACGGGACAACCTCCGAACAATTCCACTATATTTTCAAGATAATTACAATATCTTTTCACACTCCCTTGCACAAGAAATGTAAAATATAGTGACCCAGTGAGAACCCCACTCCTAAACAAAGAATAATAGAGTTGATATCCAACCCGGTGTATTTTTCCCACACTCACAGGATTTACTCAAACACTCTATTTTTATCCTACTGAAAAATAACACTCACAAGATGTTATTTCTTCTCTCTTTTTCTTTCTGCTTCTTTTTCTCTCTCGCTTGGTGCATCTTAAGCTCTTATGTTGCTTCAGTATTTATAGGAAAATGAAGCTACACTTTCCAACAATGACAACCCATTGTCAGATAACAACTCATTAAAAAAACAAATCCTAATCTACTTTAGTTGTCAGAATAATAACAACTCAATTACAACTAGTTTTAGTTGTACTCCATGTTGGCTGGACCCCACAACCCAACATCTTGTCGATCCAACGGACTCTCCGCCCCACCGACCCACAATTGCGTGGCCTTCCCGTTCATGGACTTGGGCTCCATCCGAGGTATCCTCTTGGCCCGTTTCCCAAACGGCCTACCCGAGCCCTGCATCCTCTTGGTCCTCCGGGAGACCCTCCGTGGGCTTGCCGCCGTACACGAGGCTGGCCTAGTCCATGAGGAAGTTGACGCAGGCCACAATTTCCTCGACTCTAAGAACGGAATCAAGCTGGCCATCAGGCCTCCTTGTTCAACCTCGACTCGGACAAGGAGATGCAGAACCTCTCGTATCTGAATCCAAATTCCATCTCCCATTGGGCCGCGGCACCCGAGGTCTGTTGGACCAAGTACTATTTGCCCGATGGGTACTCGGAGAAGAGCGACGTGTGGTCGGTCGGGATCACGGCCCTTGAGCTGGCGTACGGGGCCGTTAAGGTGACGAGCAGGCAGGAGCTCGATAGGATGGTCAGGGAGATTAGCGCGAAGGGGAGGCTCCCGAGGAGGTCAGATGAGATGATGAACTTTTCCGGGAGGATCACGAGCGAGGATTCTAAGTACAGTAAGGTGTACTCGAGATGGTTCGAGTGCATGGTGGTCGGCTGTCTGCATAGGAATCCGAGCAAGAGGCCTAGCGTAATTGAGCTTCTCCGGTGTGGGGTGTTCAATTTTCTAGACAAGAGCAGCGCGTATAGGCATCAAGCTTTCGACTTGTTGAGGAGTTGATAACTACTTAGACCGTGCGCGTGATTAATTTATTATTTTTGCCTTGGTTGGATGCAATAAAAGTTCACTTTTATGTGATTCTTAGTTGGTGTTGTACCAGTACTCAGTGGTGAAATGAAACCTTTGAGTTATATTGTTGACAAATAATATTTCTCCACCTGGCAATCACCTGGTTGATAAATGGATGAACTGATTTTGTATAACAAAGAAACAAAGGGAGCAAAAAAAAAGAGAAGGGAGTAAGTAGAGGCAAATTAAACTGTGGACATATTAACATGTGTCCACCATGGGTAGGAGAGCATTATCCACGTATGAAACCCCTTTTATCTGGAATTTGGATTATAATGCACATATGCCTACTTCAATTTCTTGCACCTAATTTATATTATGCTGAGCCACATTGAGTTGTATGTTGAAACTCATGGTACTTTAGAGTCTTAAGCGAGTTGAGTTTGGCTCGACCCGCTTAATAAGCAAGTAATTGAACTTTAATTCGCCTCATTTATAAATATTAACGAGGCAAGGTCTAATCTTAATGAGTTGAACTATAAAAATTTGTATAAAATGTATCTTATCGAGACGTGACGAGTCGAGCAGAATGAATTTGAACGTCGACTTGTTCATCAGACATGTTGAGTCGAGCCGAGTTCGTATAACAACTCTACACCTATATAAACTTACAATCTTAACTTAAATTTTGTATCAATGTTTTAATTTTAATTTTTCCCAATCAGTTTATGTTTATTTATTTTTCTAAATTAATATCATTTTTTTAGTATTAAGGGATAAATAACGTTCTAGAAGTTCTTCCACAAGACCACCGACCTTGGCCGCACGGCTGAGAGTATTGGAAGCTTTCAACCATTGACCAGTGAATTTCTTTTTTCTTTTTTTCTTTTTTTTTTTTAAAAAAAAATTGTTATAATCAAAGATTTTGGAAACTTGATCAATGAGCATATTAAAGTGTAATATAATTTTTTTAATATTTAATTTCCAAATTTGTTAGTTACAGTTTTGTGATGTTATAGTGCATTGTAAATTTGGTCTATTTCATATAATTAATACAAAATATCAACAACAAAATTACATTACATTAAAATAATTCGAAAAGCAACATGTGTACACGCATATATTAGATAAATATTAGGTATATCACCTAAAGCCACTACCTTAATATAAAGAAAAAAAAAAAGTTGAAACATTAATATATATATACGCATTTGACATCTTTTTTAAACGAAAAGAGTTTTATTAATAAATACTTACAAGTATTTACTCACACACCACAACTTTCTCACAAAAGACTAAAATTAAATACTTTAATAATTAAATACTTCAATAAAAAAAAATGTGACTAAACACCACGAAACATAACACTAAGATATAATATAAATCCCTCAAACAACCATTAAAAGTACATTGTTATATTAGGAGGGAGCAATATGTATTTAAAAAGGTAATTTCATACCCAAAAGCGCTTGGATGAGATGGCTTGGGTCTCTTCCAACTTAACCAGTGGTCTCGTGTTCGAGCCCTGGGAATGCAGCAGTATTAAAACTCTTGAGGGAGAGCTTTGCCGCCCTTGTGGTCCTACCCA